TGGCCAGAAGGAGCTTGACGGGGCTCTCGAGGCAATGGGCAACCCTGGACGTTTTACCCAGAGGCCTGGCAATATCGGACAGGCACTGCTAAAAGCTTTCTTTAAATGGATAAAAGTGGAGGCAGGCAGGAAGTAGGAAGACCTTTGAAAGGCCACTTCTGGGGATCCAGGCAAAAAATGGTGATGATGATGATGATGGCCCGGGCCAGGAGCTTGGGGAGAGAGGGACAAGGCAGGAATTCTTGATACTTCGGGACTACAAGCATCTTAATCGACTTTGCTTTTCATCCATATTAGGGCACACACTTCTTAACCACAAGGCTTCGGCTTTTCCTGTCAGCCTTGCTGGTCTAGGAAGTGCTATTCTATATTCAGTGCCTGTGGGTGCTAAATAAATAATGATTAAACAAATCAAGCCATGAATCATGTCTGCTCTAAGGGTGAGTGTTTGGAAAGGGAAACACCGAAGTGAGCTGAATTCTCCCGTCAGTAGGACACCGCTGGGCTGAGGACCATGGGGAAGGAGCGTGGGGAGCGGGAGCAGCAGGACTCCCTCCACTCTGATAGCTGAGGACCGTCTCTGTGATAGCTGAGGACCGTCTCTGTGATAGCTTAGGACCGTCTCCGTGATAGCTTAGGACTATCATCTCTGTGAGAGCTTAGGACTATCTCTGTGAGAGCTTAGGACTGTCTCTGTGATAGCTTAGGACTATCTCTGTGATAGTTTAGGACTATCATCTCTGTGATAGCTTAGGACCGTCTCCGTGATAGCTTAGGACCGTCTCCGTGATAGCTTAGGACCGTCTCTGTGATAGCTGAGGACCGTCTCTGTGATAGCTGAGGACTGTCTCCGTGATAGCTGAGGACTGTCTCCGTGATAGCTGAGGACCGTCTCCGTGATAGCTTAGGACCGTCTCTGTGATAGCTTAGGACTGTCTCTGTGATAGCTTAGGACTGGAGCGGTCACCTCCTACCACTTCCCATTGGGTGGGTGGAGACTGTCCACACACATCCCACAGAATCCATTGTTCAAGGATGAGCCTGGGAAATGACCCTCTAGCCTGGTCAACAGCGGGCTTGCTGTTGGTGACCAACAGCCCTGACATTATGACATAGGCTGAGGATGGAGCAGAGGGGGCAGAGAGCTTTTAAGAGAGGTTCTTTTTTTTTTTTTCTTTAATCCTCATCCAAGGATATTTTTTTTTCATTTATCATTAGACAGAGTGGGAGGGAGGGAGGGAGAGAGAGAGAGAGAGAAAAAGAGGGAAACATCGATGTGAGAGAGACACACACATCGACTGGTTGCCTCCCATACGACCTGACCAAGGCCGGGGATGAACTGCAACCGAGGTACGTGCCCTTGACCGAGATTGAACCCGTGACTCATTGGTCCGTAGGCTGATGCTCTAGCCAATGAGCAAAACGGGCCAGGCTTAAGGGAGGTTCTTTATTCCACACAGAGGAAGAGGAGAAAAGCCAAATATAAACACAATCTATTTTAGCAGTGCTCTGTACAGCAGAGCTCCCCAAGTGTTTCCTGTAAAGGGTCAGATACATTTTCAGGGTCCTCTACCTCTGCGTCAATGACCTCAGCTCTGCTCAGGTCTGCAGGTGTAGCAGGAAACCAGCCTCGACAACAGGTGAATGAGAGGACATCATTGTATTCAAGTAAAACCTTACTTTAGGGTACTAAGATCCGAGTTTGATATGATTTTTATACGTTACAAATAGGCTTCTTTTTTTTTTTTCTCCAACTATTTAACCAGTTCTATGAAGAAAATACAACAGAGCAGTGTTAAAAAAAAAATCCACATAAAAATCACACTTAGTTCACGGGACATACAAAACTAGGCAGCAGGACACTCATGGTCCGCAGTTTAACCTTACTCTGTAGAGCAGGAAAGAGGAAAAGCTATCCATCTGCATTTTGTTCAAAAACTGTCCACTTTATGCAGTGATAATATTCGACACCATCCTTTTTTGGCAGCTGCTTAATGCAAATAAAAACGTAGCTGTTTGTCTGAGATTACGTTTTCTGATAAGACGGACTCATTGGCATCAGGTGTCTCTTGAGCACCTGCTACTTGGAAGTTATTCTCCCGAATAGTCTCCAAGGTTCCTCTTCACCCTGTTATCTGCTCTAATAACATACACCAGGTCACTTGGTCACCTTCAAACACTCCAGTGACTGGCCACTTGAACTTCGAATAAGGTGCAAAGCCTTACTTTGTCTTTGCCTGACCTCCTCTCTGAACCCTCTGTCTGTCCACCCACACCACTCTTCAATCTCAGAGCTCTTGGAGCCTCTGTAGCAGCTTCCTTCAGCCCCAAACACCCCTTCCTTCCTGCCCCAGGATTTAGCATGGTTGGTCCTTCTTAGGAATTCAAAACTCAGCTCAAACGTCACCTTGTTAGAGGGGCTGTCCTTGACCATCCAGTCCAACTCAGTTCTTCTAGTCAGTTTCTATTACATGTCCCTGTCTCATTTTCTTCATGGGATTGCTCCTTATCCAAACTATCTTGTTTATCAATTTGTTTACTTTATTATTATTATGTTTTTGCCTGATTCCTCCCACTAAAAGGTAAGCTCCATTAAAACAAGGCAATGCCTGTATCATTGCTGTTTCCCTATTCTGAGATTTATGCCTACCACTCAGTATTATACATTTGTTGAATGAATAAAAGAAGAATATAGTCAGAGGGGTGACAGAAGGTTATACTCAGCATTGTGCTACTGTATTATTCCAGTTGGGAATGAGGGTGACTGTGTGTGACAAGGGTGAGGGTTGGGTGGGGAAAGAGAGTAAGGCCTTGAGAAATGGGCATGTACCAAACATTGGAGAAGCCCTGGCCAATGCTCAGATGTTAGCCCTTAATTTTTTTTTTTAAGTTAATCCTTACCTGAGGACATTTTTTTTTTTTTTTTACACAGAGTGGAAGGGAAGGAAGGATGGAGAGAAAGAGAGAGAAACATTGATTGGTTGCCTCCTGCACAATCTTGGCTAGAGTTGGGAATTGAACCTGCAACCCAGGTTATGTGCTCTTGACCATGAATCAAACTCATGACTCCTCAGACCACAGGCTGATGCTCCAACTGCTGAGCCAAACTGGCCAAGGCTGCCCTTCATTCTGACATCAATGGGGGTGGCCACAGAAGACTTATAAGTAAGTACAAAATAAAATAATTCAGTATATTAACTAAAATGTTCACATTGGGAATATTAAAAAAAAATCTATGGTATTATGTGATCTGTTTACACCATTAATGACAGCAAAGGTCATACCATAATCAGACCATCCTTAACTTAAACAAGTGTAGAAAGATGCCAAAAAATGAAGTCAAATTCAGTGCAGATGTTTCATCTCATCTACACGCCTCCTCTCTCTTGAGTTGGGGTGACTTGGAGTAGCTTTTGACATATTTCTGAACAACCGAGCTGGAAGCAAAGGTTCTCCAAGTTTCTTTTTTTGATGTTGTTGTCTAGCAGGAAAAGGCTGTTTGTCAAATTTACCTTCAATCCGAGAGACAATGAGGATGTGGAATTAAAAATATAAAACATGGTTTAACTTAGTGTTTTCAGTTCAAGACCTGGTGGCCTGGTCCAACCACAGAAATGAGATTTCTGCATGAGATAAGCTTCTCGAAAGTGTGTCAGATGCTGGAGTGGAAGGCATTTACAAGTGCAAAAACAATTGGGAGAGTTTCTTTTTTCCTATCTACAAATCTGTCTCCTTTCGTCCATCCTTCTTTGTACTTGGAACAGAAAGTTAACATCTACTTTCTTTTTTATTAATCCATGGAAGAAGGTGAAAACTATGAACTGTTCGAGGGCGGAAGCCAGATCTGCCCCGATGTTAGGGAGGGAACGGAAGTGAGGCTGTTTGAGGAAGCGTGAGCTCTGAGGCCCCAGAACTCCACGGAGGTTCCCATGGACAGTGGTTACTTCACAGGGTGACCCCAGAGCTGCCGTTTCGTCTGTTTTAAAATGCTCATGTCGGAGAGTACCTTTTTTCTTTTTTGAAAAAACAGGGAATTTTACCACTGGCCCATTGAGATCTCTGTTTCATAGTTAGATATTTACTAACAATTTTTTAAAAAAACATTTTTTCTTTATTGATTTCAGAGAGAGCGGAAGAGGGAGAGAGAGAGAGAGAGAGAGATAGAAACATTGATGGGAGAGGACATTGATTGGCCACCCCCTACACGCCCCTGACAGGGGATCAGGCCCACAACCTGTCCATGTGCCCTGACTAGGAATGGAACTGGTGACCTCTTGGTACATGGGTCGAAGCTCAACCACTGAGCCACACTGGCTGGGCTTACTAACAATTAAATGTTTCAAATGACCACAAATGGAATGGTTGGGACACGTGGCTGCTCAGCATCCATAACTACTGTTTCTCTTCAAAACAAATTCCCTTTTTATTCATTCTGTTTACCACCCCAAGAGCAGTCTATGTGCCATTGAGCATTGTCCAAGAGGGGGGATACCAAAATCACAAAGCCCTCCATGAAGATGCGCTTGTCACCTTTCTTTGCCCACAGGCCTTATCATTTCTTTATTAAAGGACACCCAAGATGAGAAGTGATTTTTAAGAATTGCATCTTTTGTGCCAAGAGAGTCCTGACTTTGCCATTGGTTGGTTAGAGTTGCTTGGCCACTTTCAGTTAGAAATTGCCTGAGGGAGGAAATAGGTCAGGTAGGGCAATGGTTTAAAACCCAGATATTGGCAGGGACACAGTACTAGCTGGACCCAGGCAGTGCCCTGTGCTGCTCCTGTCCCAAGTGGTCACTGTGTCACTGAGCCCCAATCTTCCAAATGTACACGGTGTTTGGGCACTTGGAGTGGCTGTGTATGAACTCCCACTGCAGTGACTGTTATGTAGGGTGACCACAGGAAGGGCTGGAGGCCCCTAATCCACAAGGGAAGATGACACCCTTGGGCGGATCACCTTGTGGGGCCCTCCTGAACTTAGATGGCTTGAAAACAAGACTTACCGAGAAGTCGTCACTGGGGAAGAAGAGGAGATCTCGGAGGGGATCATTCCGATATGTCTTTTCAAGTTCTTCAATGACAGTTTCATAATCCAAAGGCTCGGGAAACCTGGGTTTTTCTTGCTGTGGAAAAAGAAAACCTAATATTAACCACTGACACATATAATCTTCTCACACACATATAATGTCTGGTTGGGTAGCACGAAGGCTTTGACATGGTGCAACCCTTCCAATAGACTCACAGAGACTCCAGGCATTCAGGGCAAAGCCATACAACTATTATTTCCAGACCTGACATAATATGAGAAGATCCTGAAATACTTGACATCTCACTCAGTAATTCAAGCTGTTCAGACTGAGCTCCAAAAGTCACACCCATAGACTATACGTGTATGTAAAGAAAGGCCTTCTATCACTTGTTAAGTATTATGATGATCTCCATCACCTTTTCCTGAATTAGATACTTCTTTGTGAGGTTTACATGAGTCTATTTTAAAATGTTGGCACCTTGCTAGCAATCAAAGTATCACAGGCTGGCCTAGTTGTCACTGTAGCATGGATCCTGTGTCAAGATTAACTGCTTGGCTCTAAGCCTTTTTGCTGTGATAGAGAGAAGCTGAGTAATTCTAACAGAACTGAACACCATAACTATTATGGACACAGTGTGGTGAAAATGGAGAAGAGTCTAAAAAATAGCAAGATAATCACATTACATTAAAGTCGTGAAGCCGAAGCCCCAGCTGATAGCTTAGTTGATAAGAGTGGAGTCCCCATGGGCCAAGGTTGCGAGTTCAATCCCCAGTCAGTGCACATACAAGAATCAACCAATGAATGCTTAGATAAATAGAACAATAAGTTGACGTTTCTCTCTCCCTTCCTCTCGCTCTCTAAAATCAGTAAAAATAAAACAAACTCCTGAGGTTGAAAAGAAAGGCACTTCCCTTAAATAAACTGCCCATAGCACCACAAAAAGATAAATAAATTGCTAGTTGGAGAAGGTGTGATTGTTTCATTATAGAGTTGATGTATTTTCTCTAAACGACGGAGCCACAAAGAAAGAATAAACTATTTTTTTTTTTTTTTATTATGAATTTTTATTTATTTTTTTGTTACAGATATTTTACCTTTTTACCCCATTGGCACCCCCCACCCCACCCCCTCCACCCTGTCCCCGGCTTAGTTGTCCATGTCCATTGGTCATGCATACATGCATATAAGTTCTGTGGTTTATCTCTTCCCACCCCCCCACCCCCCATCCCCTCTTCTGAGGGATGTCAGTCTGTGCCCTACTTCCATGTGTCTGGGTCTACTATATTCCTCAGACTGTTATGTTCATTATATTCCGTATATAAGTGAGATCATGTGGTATTTGTCTTTTTCTGCTTGGCTTCTTTCACTTAGGATAATACTTTCCAGGTCCCTCCATGTCGTCTCAAAGGATAAGAGATCTTTCTTTCTTACCGCTGCATAGTACTCCATTGTGTATATGTACCACAGCTTTTTGATCCAAAGAATAAACTATGATAGAACAGAAAACCAAGGACACAATCTGAGTTCCCTTGGCGTTGTGATGAAGTATTTATGCAAACCTAATTGAGAAGAAATGATTGTTTGGATTATTTTAAGGCTCTTGGAAGCCAGAGTGGTCATCGTGAAATTTGTATGCTAAAATGACCTCATAAATGGAAATCATTTTTTCTTTATCATGTCAATGACATCAATGATCCCCCCCCCTCCTCTTCTGCAACGCAGGCAGATTTAGCTTCCATTTCTTAGGCCTTCTTTGGAAGGTCTCTGCTGCCAAAGCCCCAGAAATCTTTACTGATGTTTTAATAATTTCTAATGCACTCCTCAAAGTAGCAGTCAATGTTCATTTTGACAATTTTCCAAATATAAAAGTGGAAACAAAACAAAATGTACCACAGTGGGCCAATAACAAGGGTTTTTGTGTCCTTTCTGCATTAAAATAAGACAGAAGAAAAATAAACCATTTTACGAATCCTTAAATAAACCAAGGATAATGTCAAGTGAATATTTTCTCTGAAAGGACCCTTCAAGTAAGATTGCTAGACGTAGCAAATAGAAATACAGAGCTCCGGGCAATGTTTGAAGAAAAGAAGAAATTTAGTTGCCCAACACCGTCTATTAAGGAAAAGAACTGTGAAACCTTCGACATTTTAAAGTAGAAAAAGTAGAGACAATGTGGAACGAGCTGAGTACTTAAAAGCGAAATCCTCCTAAAATCAGTGTCTTTTGATATAATTATTTTATTTCAACTTATTTTAAGTTCCAATTCCCTATTTCCCAAGGCCAAAGTTAATTCCAAGGATCACAAAACGATAGCTCAAGAGGCATGCAGACTCCAGATGTTTGGTTTGGCGCAAACATTTACTTCATTTTATTTTTAGTTGGCTTCGAATGTCTTTAAGTGGTGGTATTTCACTGAAGTTCAGCTATGGACCTCAGTAGTCCTGCAAAATCACACAATGATTTTACCAACTGCCCCAAACGGCCTTCAAGTTTGAAATACATGGCTTATTCGGGAATGTCTTTTTTCCCCCTAATATACTTTTTGTATATTAAATGTAGCAAATAAAACAGAATGTATTATAAAACCATCAGAAAGTCCTTATCGCAGCCACAGATTGGACTGGTTAGGTCCCTTTCCCTCAGTGTTTTTTCAGCTTAAGTGTTTGATGCCCTCTGGGCTCACATACCAGCAGCTGTGGTTTAGCTCTGGCACTTTCCCTCTCCTGTCTTTGCCTCACATCTTCCTGTGAGAATGTGGCCTCGTGTGTTGCAGTTGACATATTTAAAGGCAAATCGTATCAAGATGTTTTAAGAGGTCTCCTACAATCTTGTTTGTACTATCTTCTACATTAATTCTCCCACTAGTTACACACTACAGCATTAATAAACAAGCTGGAGACTAGAAGACTTTCAAAGAGGACATTTCACTAGGGTCCCCTTCCACCTCAAGTGAATGCCACCTAGACTAGTACGACACGAAGATCAGAGCTCACAAGTCATAGGTTATCGATAAAACCACAGAAAAACAAAATTCTCCTTGATATGCCCCCCCCCCAAAAGGCATAGCTTACAACAGATGTAAGCATCTGTTGGAGTGTAGATTTTTATTTGTTTATTTCAGGCTAGGATATACCAGCCAATCAATGAATGACATTTATTAAAGCCTTTCCTGTTTAAAATGTTGCACTGAGGTTATTTTGACACAAAGCTACAAAACCTAGCAGATCTACTTCATATAATTTATTCAGTCTTGACCTTTGAGGGGAGATATATTAGTTAATTGCTCCCTTTCCAGGGAATTTGTTAATCAATGTGCAACTTTCAAGATATTCAATGCTTTATAATTTTTGTGAACATGAAGTTTCAAAATGAAGACAACAATGACATATTTCCTAGCATCTAGAGCCTGGGACGTGGCTAGTGTTTGCCATGAATGTGTTATGACCTGTGATGGTGAGATTCCAGGCTATGGAGCCTGTAGTTCTCTCTGGAGCAGGACAGATATCTGTTCAGCATTTCGCTCAAGGAGACAGATGTATACGAGGATGATGGGATAAGTTAATTTCTCTCTACTACTGCTTGCAGAGGCATTGAGTAAAACTGGAAACTGAGCAGCGTTGATTTGCAGCTTTACAACGGTTGGGTTTGTCCCTCCTGAATTTAATGTGCCTCTTTCTTTTGGAAATGTACCAACTGGGAGGAGGCAGGTGCCAAGACTGCCCTGAGTTGGATTGGATTTTTATAGTGCTTTTTACTCTCACTTGTTTTCTCTCAAATGAGTAATGAATTTCATTAGCTATTCGAAAACCACTCCGGGCCTGGGAAAAGGCACCCACCAGTACCTGTTATTATGCAGCAGGGTTGGTGTTGCACCACAGGGGTAACAGGCCCTATTCTTCTTAGACAGTATTAAGGGATTTGTTTGCTCCACCTCCCCAAATCCACAGCTCCCCTCCAGTTCAACTTCCCAGTAGAAGAATGGAACCCTGTCACAAAAACAAATGCTTCCTTCCCTTCTACTTATTTCACAGCTTCTCATGGAACGCCAACACGATGTCCAAGTCCTAGAGTTGGTCAACCTGCCATCTTGGTAGTTAACCAGGGCTGCCAAAAGCCATTTACTTGGTTTGGAGCAAGCCGATTGTCTATGCCTTAGCTAAAGCTTCTCATTGCAAGAAAATAGCATCTATTACAAAGATCTGAATTGTTTTTGTAATTGTAACTAAAGATCAAATGGGTGAAGAGATACTGAGGGACTAAGTATTTGCAGTTTGTAACACTGAAAAATAAATGACTAAATCCTCCTCCTAGCTCTGTCTCCAGAATAGAAGTACGGCCTAACTGAGAAATAAGCTGGCCTATGGAAAAGTCCAAAATGAGAGGGAGAGTGTGACTGTGGGTTTTCTGTGTTGAGATGCAACTGAGAGTGTAATCTGCACTCTAGAAGGATGTTATGAGGTTACATTTGTCATGTCTTAGAACTGTATCACACCCACACTGCTCATCACATAAGCGCTAAATTTTAAATTTTCACAAATCATGGATTTAAAGCACTTTTATTGCAAATGTAATGTGTACAACGAGCAAATAGTAGGCACTCCAATATTTGTTGAGTTAATAAGTTTATATCATTTCATACAGAAAAACCTTTTCTGGGACTCTATTAAAAACAACAATCACACATATAATCAAAGATTTATACAAAAAGGTCTTTGCAATATTATCTCGGTAACAAGATGGGGAAAATATATTCACTTTAATCTAAGGGAGACAGGAAAGGCAGGCAGGCTGGTCGATGCTACATCCAAAGAGTGAAGACACCAGAGCTGCTGCTCAGAAAAGTGGGGTTTATATTTTTCAAACATTGGGTGTCATGGAGAGTGGTTTAGTGCTATAATGGGCTTTGGGGAGGGCATTACGAATAGGATAGGGAGCCCTGGCCGGTTTGGCTCAGTGGTTAGAGCGTCGGACTGCTGTCCAGAGAGACCCGGGTTCGGTTCCCGCTAAGGGCACGTACCTCAGTTGCAGTTTGTCCCTAGCCCTGGTTGGTCGTGTGGGTGGCAGCCACTCGATGTGTCCCTTTCACGTTGATG